ATGTCACTTCCGGGTTCTGTGGGTCCGAGGCCACATTTCTTGCAAGCAGCACCTGCCTCTTCCGGTTGGCAATTCTTACAAGCCCGATGCCCGCAGCGAAAGATGTGTTCAAAAGTCGTCAGCTCTTTGCAGAAATTACATCCCAGCGGCCCCAGAACCAGTTTTGCGTTCAAACAGCTCAACGGGTCCTTGCCTGCCCCGAGGCGTCGCTTGAGTTCCTTGATAAAATGTGGCCAGCGGGTCCCGTTTGGCCCGACGCACCTTTCGCAGCCCAATTGCCCGTCCGGCGTGTAGATTGCATCGGCGGCTTCTTGAGATCCGTAAACCACTCCGCATTTCGGGCAATTCAAGCATTTCCCCAGCACGCCGCCCATTCTCTGAAAGTTCATGATTTTACAAAATTCCTAAAAATTCACAAAGACTGAATTGTTAGAACGGAACAAAACAGAACAAATTCTGACAGATTGAGACAACCAAAAGTGTCGAAAAATAGCTTAACTTAGATTTAGTATAGCCAAAAATGCACGCCAATTATGACATTAGCTCTCAATAACCGCCTATAAGCCTCCTATTTTCTGCCGTCAAAGAATTCTTACGAGAGAAGCGCGGAATCGATAAGACGCTCGGCGAGCTGATTCTCTGACTGGAATAGCTTTTACAAATGGTGTTCTGAAAAAAACGTCAGCGTGCTAAATTTTTTTAAATATGTGTGCGAATTGTTAATAATGTATTAATACTGATTTTATTCCTGAAATCGCAAAATCGCACAATATTTATTCATGCAAAAAATCAACTGAAAGCTGTTCAAGCTTCTCCCTAGCATCGACCAGTCTGTCGTTGAAGATTCGAACCGCCGGAATATATTCTTCGCAATCTCTCTCAAATGCTTGCGCCGTTTTCCTCAATTCTTCGGTCAGCTCCTTGCCTTTTTTCAAAGGTGCCTTGCTTGGCGATCAGCTCGAGTGCCTTTTCCTCGGCAGCCATCAGTGACGCAAAGCCTTCTTTTGTCCATAGATGCAACCCGGAAAGATTTCGCACGTACCCCTCATACAGCCCTTTTAATTCGATCTTCGTTCTACTACCCAGCTTTTCCAGCTCGATTCCTACTAGTTCGGGGGTATCGTGCTTCTTATGCAATTTCAGCCCGCAAGCTCCGCATAAAATTTGTCGACAATCATTGCACCAGAAGAAGAATTCAATGTCTTCTTCCCTAAAACATGTTTCGCATGTTCTCCTTGGATCGAGCGCCAGCTCATCGAGGCCAAAGGATAGCGTCGAACACGAATGTGCTGCTTTCTTGCCCATTCCATTGTTCAAAGCTGCAATCATTTCGAGTTGTTCAACAAGACGTGCGGCTCCACCGACTTCCTGCGCGGCTGGGTGGCGCTCAGCGAGCTTTAGGGCCGATCTGAGATACTCGCGGTAAAACCATAGGATGTCGCTTTTGGGGTTGGCGAGTCCTTTCATACTTTGCGCATGTCGGGTTCTCCGTTTGGGATGAGCAGCTTTGGCATGCTCGATGAGCACACTGAAATATATACCGGATGCTGGCCGAGCTTTTGCAGAAATTACAGCCTAGCGGCTTCAGCTGTTTGCTAACGATGATCCACTGGGACCACGAAATATCAGAGCCCATTCCCAGATCGACGATAAAGTGGGGCCATGCCTCTCCGCCTTGTTCCAGGCAGCTTCCGCATCCCAATCGGCCGTCATCGATGCGGAAATATGGCCGGGTGGTTTCTTCTGACCCGTATCTGGCGGTGCATCTTGAACAGTGCAAGAAAGTCGGTCTCATCAACACCATCGAGCCAGTTTCTATGACGATGAGGAACTAAAATAACCGAAATCTCAGGAATCCGTTTTTATATGAGAAAGGAATGGCCAGACCGAGCGAGAGAGAGAGTTAGAGTTAGAGAGCGCGAGAGAGAGGGCGAGAGAGAGACGGAAATAGCGTGAGAGAGGGAGGAGGTCCAGAAAAAGGAACCTCTCCGAGACGCGTGACGTGGTTTAAATTTTAATTGAAGCACGCACGCCCATAGTAAGAGGCAAGCTGATAAGCCGCCACTTGAGACATTTCCCCGACCCTTTTACGACAATTTTTCAAGAACCACGTGCCCAAGAAATAGCTTTGACGCCTGGCACTATTTCCCGATATCTATTGTCCGGGTGACGATACTGGGGATCAGCCACTCAACATATCATCTGCTCTTTGCTGTGCCATGCATTTAAAAACAAAATTCCATCTCAAAACTCAAATTACATATTTATTCGATAGAAGACATGGTGGTGTTAACGAACTTTCAAGCTTTGTAGGCGTTATTTTATTGAGAGTTTATTTGGGCACACAACTAGACAAAACCGCCGCAAGTCGATCACTGGCGTCCATCAGCTTGTCGTTAAAAATTCGTATCGCCGGTATATATTCTTCGCACAATTTTTCAACACTTTGCGCAGTTGCCCTAATTTCTTCAGCGACCGCCTGGCCACTTTCGTATATGCTTTGCTTGGCAATGAGTGCCAGTGCCTTTTCTTCAGCCGCCACAACCGACTTAAATGCTTCGCTTGTATATAGGTGTAGCCCGGACAGGTTGCCGGCATATCCCGAGTAGAGCCCTTTCACCGCAACCGCCGTTTCTTCGCTCAGCTTTTTCAATTCAACGTGCGCTAGTTCTGGCGTCTGGTGTGTTTTATGAAATTTCACACAGCACGCTCCGCATATTGTCTGTTGACAATTATTGCACCGGAAAAAGAATTCAATGTCATCCTTCTTCGCACATTGTTCACATTTCCGCTGCAGCTCTGGAACTTCCTCTTTGTCTAAGGGCCTAAAGCGGACCATCTGTCCTTCGCCCAACTGCTGAATCCACTCAATTTGCTTGCGGCACGACGATCGCTTGTCGAGATTTGCATGTTGCTCGGCGTTAGAGAGCGCCACGATAATATTTTGTACGCTCCAGCGCAGATACTTTTCATAGAATTTTAGAAGATCGCTGCCTGCCTGGGCCTCCGGTTGGCCGCAGTCATTGCATCTGGGCGTTTCGCTGGAAGATACGCATTCCGCACATCCTCGATGGCCACAAAGGAATACGTGCGCAAGCTCCGTTGACGTCTTGCAAAAGCTACATCCAAGCGGCGCTGGGCAAGATTTTGGGCGAAGCACGAATGTGGCGGCCGCAGGTGCTTGATGCTCGATTTTCATCTCGATGACCTCGCTGATAAATGAGGGCATCTGTGCGCCTTCCACAATGCAAGTGCGACATCCCAATTTGCCTTCAGAGGTGTAGCATGGCATTCGATCCTCACTGGCTAAGTACATCCGCTGGCATTTCGGACAGTTCAAGTGTGTTGCCTCCCGAGGGTCCATCACCTGAAAATTTGCAAGTTTTAGGATAGCATGGATAGGGAGCCTATTAGTCGCTTTAACGAATTAAGCTTCAGGCAAAACAAGGGTGCGTGAATCTCACAGGTATGAAATAATTTTTAAAAGGTCTAGAAAGCTTGTTTTCAAGTGCTAGTGTGGTGCCCTTGGGTCGAATCGGTTTTTTTCGATGATGATACCGGGCGTAAGAGTGGAAATTTTGAACGCGCGCGCTTTCTTCTTGGCTGCAGTTTCGCTTGGTGTGGTTGTAAAACCAGAGCTGGCTATCCAACCGACCGATTATAACAACTTATGATTGCCAGAACACAAAGGAAATAGCTTTGCATCCGTAATCGCCAAATTTTACATGGACCCATCTCCTTCGGGTTCTGTCAAATTTATCCGAAATTATCGATTTGGTTAACATAATTAGCGAGCAGACTGATGCCTTTGTACTTGTTCGTATTGCTTATTGCAATTGTGTACTTTACCTTTTTGCATAGCTGTCCAATAAATTTTTTATTCTCTTTGCCAGCACAGGTAAGAAAAACCAGGAAATGTGCAGGGGTCGCAAATCGAAAAAAAATACTTTTGTAAAGCAGCCGTTGGCGGCGACGGGGTGGAAAGCCAATTTGGGTTTTTTTATTACAAAAAGCACGGGGATTTTGTGTAAATTCAAAGGCGCAATCGCGGAAAAACGTGAAGCCGGCGCACAAATGCGGTACCTGACAGGGCGGGGAAGCTGGGGTTTTTTTGGATCCTGACAAATTAGACTACTCTAGCGAATACGAAGTGTGCGGGGTTGAATTTTTGGGTCTTGGATTACTGTAAGAAGTACAGATTTTAGCAGGATTTACTGGAGACCCAAAAATCGTATACACGTTTATGTACATTCACAAATTTGGAGGTGTTGGGGCGTTTGGGGAATATCATTATTAGGTGTTGTTTTTGGACAATTTCAATTTGGAGATTTGCCAAGTTTTAGGTTCTTCTAAAAATTTAATAATCGTGATTTTGGATATAAACAATGCAAATACATAAAATTTTGCCTTTTCAACACCTGGCAACTTTCCAAAACGATTCCAGCTAATTTTTCGCTAGTTTTCTGCCGTCTAACGCGTTTTCTCAAGCGCAGAAAACGTCTACCGGGGCTGACAAGACACGGGCTGGAAATTATAAGGATTTTTGGGGTGAAAATTTACACTTTGTGACACATAAAGCCAAGCAAAAGAAGAAAATAGCTGCAAAATAGAAATCACACACCGGGTTGCTCGGGAGCCAGAATCAGCAGTGAAAAGCGAGGTGTAGAAGTGTACGGTAAGTGAAAAAAATTGTAAAATTTAGAATATCACACATCGGAAGTGGAGGCATCGATAGGAAGTGAATCGGGGTTGGTTTCGGGGGTTTTGAAAGATTTCTGGGCTTGGGTGTGGTTTTGATTGGGTACAGCATTTTTTTTGATCGTACAATCTGGGACCGGTACGGTAGAATCGGGGGCGTAAAATAGCAAATGGCAAGAAGGGTCTTTCTAGCTATTAAACTTTTATGAGCTAGCACCATCCCTTTTTGCCATTTTCGCCGTTCTAGAATCAGGACAGAACCGGATGAATTAATGGAAAATTCTAAAAATGTGCATCAACTAGAATTTTGTATTCTGGAGGTTGTTCAGCTTCAGCAGCTCGGCCTGGAGGATCGAGGCCAACGTCGGGTTGGACTGGAAGATGGAGAGGTCCAGGCCGGAAACAGCCGGGCCGACGGGGGTTGATTGCGCAGGTTCGGGCTCGCTGACTCGGTCGATGCACTCGGCGAGATATCTGAAATTGCTAGATGATGAACTGCTTCATAATTTGAGACTTTGTATAAATGCAGGATTATGCATCAAACCGCACCAGCTTTTTTGAAAAACCCACTTTTGCAAGCAGTTCATCGCTGCCAAGACAGCAGGTGTTCCGAAACCGTGTGTTGATAGGGAGAAGCCGGTGAGGGCTTCCTGGGTACCATTATCAAGTAGCGAGTCCGGCTGGTTGTTCTGCATCGGCGACCGGTCGGACTGGAGCAGTTCGGTGAACTCACGGAGGATGGTTCTGAAATGGTGATTCTAACAAAGTGCTAGATTATGGATTTCCACAAAAATCACGGCTAGTTTGCCCTTCTAGAGAAGGCTGGAAACACCGCAAGTAGGTGCTCATCGTGTTCCACAAATCTGGAACGACGTACTTGGCATGTCGTAGCTGCTCTATCCGGGTCTCTCGCTCCTCATCACTTCTTCTCGTGCTGTGATCGGCCAGGGCGGCGGCGGGGAATTCAGCGTTACAGACGTACGTAAAGTCGCGCGCCAAGTGGAGAGCTTCTCCTACGAAGGGAAACGGTGATTGATGCAAAAGTTGCAAACTCACCTTCAACAAGCGAGGTCAGGAGGGTGACGCTTCCGGCCTTTCTTCGTCCGGCCGGTAGTGAGAGGCCGATCTTCTCAAGGGAGTCTCGCAGGGATTTGCCGCCATTCTTGGATTTCGCTCTGGAAATGGGGATTTGGTTATGTCATCTTATAGTTTTAATCTTTTTGATCTCTTTAGACTGGAGAGCCAGTATTACAAATTTTTTTCTAACAGAAATTCTGGGATTTTGCGGCGACACGACCGTTTTCACATGATTTTGGCTCCGGAAATATAACTTAAGTTACGTTTTTGAGTGGCTTAGCACGTCTTAAAGGGAACAGCAAGTCAGGGAGTTACGATGTTATGGTATGTTTTGGAGCGGTTTCCTTCTCAATTTGGCGCTGTAGGAAATGTGACCGTGACGCGACGGTTTTCACAGTGAATAGCGCATGTAAAAACTTTGACAATGCCGTGCCTGACCCTTTAAAAAAACGTCAGGCTGCTGTAACGCTCGCCTTCAAACCCGCGAATTTCGACCAAACCCCTCCCCCCTTTTCAACCCCTTCAACCCCTGATTTCTCACATTTTCCCCCCGGAAAATCGTTGTGTGCCGTTGGCATGGCCAGGCCCTGTGCCTTTCGGGCGTTTTGTTTGTCTGTTTGTGCAGCTCTCCGTCTCTTTTTCGCGGTATGCCTGTGCCCAAAAACGGTGCCCCCGACCGCCATAGAATCTATTGGCGCCGAGAGCTATTCGCGGGGGCCCCCCGCGAATAATTTGGAAAATTTTTCAATTTGGAAAGTCAAGAAAAAAAATGGCAAACGCAGTGTTTTTTGGTTGAATTCAAAAGCTAATTTTACAAAAATTTAGTTAACGACGCGTAAAGCAAGCCAAGGACGTTTTGAAGCCATTTTTTTGGAAAATTAACAAAGATATTTCTGGTTTTCTTAAAATTTCGTGATTTATCGACTAATCTTTCAGAAGGCTCCTTGGCTTCTATGCTGCTTGAAAATATGATCCTTAGGTTTGGGAAAATTCAGGAAGAAAGGAATTGTTGGCTTTTATAGTTTCAGGGCACGAAGACCTTGAGTTAAGTCCCGGGGGACAAAAACAGTAAAATCCAAGAGCGTTCCTTTTCCCTTCCCAGCAGGCGTTCGTGCACTTTAAAGTTTCCCTCTCTCCTTATCTCTCTCTCGCCCCATCTCTTTTTTTTTGCTACCCCAAATTTCCCTCAAAAAACTAAATCCGCCATCTCCAAAAAAACCCGACACCACAAAAGGCCCCCTGCGGGTGTGTATAGTCGCGCCTCGTAGCCCTACCGGCTCCCCTCATCCCAACACAGTTTCTTTGTCTCAAAAAATGTGAGTGCGCGAGGCAGGCCCGCGTGCGCTGGCTGCTGCTGTTTTCCGAAATCTGAGTCACATGGGCATTTCTTTGGGAGAAAGGGAAGAAAGTTGCAGGTGGCCCATTGGAAACTGCCGCCTTGGGTCAAGATTGATCCAACTTGACAGGGCGGTAGGTTGTGATAGAGTTTAAAGGGGGGAGGACACCAAGAAACGTACCTATGAGGTTATCAGGTGCTTTTAAAGGGGTCGCGACACTAAGACAAAGATCTAAGGAATCAAAATACAATTCTAAAGGAGTCAAGGCATTAGGGAATACTTTTACAGGATTATAAGGGACCATTTTAAAGGTGTGGTGACACCGAGGACGAGATTATACCCGCAATTACCTCAAGCGACCGTTTTACGACGTCTAACCGCGGATTTCAGATTTTTTATATTTTTTTCTTGCTTTCCGGTCTCTTTAAAAAAAGTAGAAAAGCTCAGAATCGACACTGCAAAGCGACTAGGTCTCGACAGCCATGGGTGACACCCTAAATTAGATTTAGCGGGAATTCTGATGTTAGAAAAAAGCTTTTATTCGGTAAAACTAGTTTTTGGTATTATCGCGCGTTTGTCGAGATCTGGTCCACCGAAAGAATTGGTTCTCGTGCTTCCCAATCCCATTAAGATTGCCAACCCGTCCCCACCAAAAATTTCCCTCGCAGTCAACCAGACGGCAAGCCTTCCCGACGGCAGAAACGCTGCCGTCGTCCCCTCCCCGCCTGGCCCGTGGGGGTCCTAGAGGGCTTTTTGGAGACACTGTTTGCTCGGCCATAGAAAGAGAGAGACTGTCGGAGAGGGCGAGAGATAGCAAGGCGGCCGGCAAACAGACCAACGGCGCGCCTCGGAACAGACCACACTGAAAAGACTGACGGACAAACGCTCCGCGCGCATTCAGAGCGCCCGAAGGGCCCAGCCAGGGGGCCCCACGGCGACGAGAGAGCGACAGAAAGAGATGGCGAGAGAGCGAGAGAGACCGAGAGTGGCCGCCATGTCAAATATTGACGACGTGGAAAACGGGAAAAAATGGGGGCAGAAGGGCTGGAGAGAGCCTGGGGGGGTGGTTACGTGAACTTTTTCTGGACCTCAGGCGGGTCATGGGGGCAAAAGCCGCGGGGAAAATGGTAAACAGGCCGGGGGTTTTGGGTACGGTAGCGCCGTGGCGAGACTAAAAAACAACGGATCATTGAGTCATGAGGTGCCTGAGGTATACTTGATCGATAAATTGGTTTTAGAAATTTTAGTAAGACGCTAATAACCTGTATTACGCCTCAAAATGACGATTATTCAACGACTACGGTAGCGTGCTGAGACCCAAATTTGAATTTTTTTGGCTTCAAAGTCTTTAGAAAGTCCTGGTATACAGTGGTCTAAAACGGTGCGTCACAATTTTATATCTTTTTTAGGTTCCTCGAATTTTTTCACTCCCTGCTCCAATTTCCAAGCAAGAAACCTAATGCTCCAAAATAAGGCTTTACCCCGCTTTCCTTCCCTTATTTGGCATCTTTCCAAATACATTTTTCCCTCCCCTACAATACCATACAATACCACCCTTTTCTATAGAATGTCGAAAGGAGGACCCCTCAGCCGGGTCAACAATATTCCCACATACAAACAGCCCAACAGACGAAATCATCGAAAATACCGTCCTTATTCGGCGCATTTCCGGGGATCTATTTGCCCGCGGGCCCCGCCGGCTCTGGGCCCCATTTTTGTTTTTGGGCCCCAGGGGTCAATAGGGCGCGGGGGGTTCTGACTTTGCGCTGTTTTTCTGGGTCGCCCAATGGAACACGTCAACACGTCAGAAATCCGAGTGGGCGTACGGTAGATCGAGAAATCCCAAGTATTTCCTTACCTCCGCAAAATGCCGCCGAGGATCGAGGCATTGAGAGACTCCGGAGGTGATAGTCGTCGTTGCAACTGAAAAATGATGATCAATTAATTTTTGTGAAAACTGTCGCAGTTCTTTGTAAGATATTACGGTTTTCACGCGTTTTCTTTGAGCCCGTTTTTGGTAATTTTTGACTGCGATATTGAACCCCAGGAATTTGAAAAAAAACGAGGAGCGGTTTCAGAGAGAGCGAGAAAGAGAGAGGGGGGGTGAAAAAGCTACATAGAGAGAAAAAGGGAGCGAGCGAGAGCAGAAAGAGAGACACACAAAGAGAAAGAAAGAGCTGGTGTGAGCGAGAGAGAAAGAGAAGGAGAAAGAGAAAGAGAGAGAGAGAGAGAGAGAGAGAGAGAGAGAGAGCGAGCAAGTCATTTTACGGCAATTTCCAATCGTTAAAGGGGCTGCAAAGCCAACTTTTCACCCGTAACAGAAAATAGACTGAAAAAACGTATATCTCGAAGTTAAATTCTATTTAGCCCCTTATTCTTTTACTTCTCTCAATCCCATATTCCAGCCGGTCCCCACTTTTCATATTTTGTATGAGTACTGTGTTTTTCCCGAGGCAGGCGCTGGCTGCCCAGCCGGCAGTCCCGTGCTCTCTGCGGGACCGTCAGGTAGAAGAGGGGAGGAAGAGCGATTTTGAGTAGTGAGGGACCTGGGTGAAATGGCGAAATGGGGGAAATTCGGGAAACCGGTTGAGGGCGAGGGGGTGGAGGATCGGGGGCCCTCGCCGCTCTGCCAACCTAGGTTCCAGCCGCCGGGCTGACCTCGGGCTCTCGACGCGAATGGCAGTGCCGCAAAAAAAGTTTTAGTAGATCGAAACCGGGCCCAATTTGGTTGGCGGGGATCGTGGAAACTGTCAAGTGAGGGTCGAAATGGAGCTTTCATAAAATTTTTGTTGTTGGTCGGAGCTTTAAAGGGATTGTGAAGCGCCCAATGACACCTGATGAGCGGCTCCATTTTTGCAGTTACTACGCATTTCAACGGGCTTTGAAACTCGGCTTCAAAATACTTTGGTCTCCGTACTCCGACTTGTCAAACCCTAGTCGATAAGGGAGTAGATTTTGACAGTTCCTAACAAGCATGAGCATGAGAGCATGAGCATGAGATGGAAGCATGACACCCGAATTTAGCCAAGATAAAAGACGTTAAGATATTTTTAATATGATTGAGTTTTGATTAGAATGAAAAACCCGGTATTTAATGCTTTTGCTAGCTTTTTTTGCATATCCCCAAGCTTTTTAACAGCATTCAATTTCTCTGCCGTTTCCGGCAATTTTCACACTGTTCCACTCCCAAAACTCGCCAAATCCAACCCTCCACAGCTTCACCAAAAACCCCACCAACCATACGGAACAAAGACCGCCGGGCACACCCTTCAGCCTCATCCTCATCCTCCCCCTCCCCTCTGACTGCAATTCTCCAGAAACAAACTCGGGGAAAACTCGCAATGGCGGGAGAGAAAAACGGCTGAAAGCCCTCGGTATCCCCATCCCATCCCCTCGTCCTCCTCCTGTTCTCCGGCTCAAAGCTTTGTGCCACCTGAAATTTGCATCTCTCCCGGGTGCGCACGTCGAGAATCGCCTCGGCAATGACCATTGTATGCTCGAGGTGGCGTAACAAGGAGGGAATTTTGTGGCTGGAGAGGGAGAGAGATGGAGGGGAAAACAGTCCCCCGCTGGGGAGCACGAGCCTTTCGCTCTCCGCCAGACACCCCCCGGGCATGCCCTGGGGCACGTTTTGTTGCCTCTCCCCGCCCGGAGGTGCGTGGGAACAAACATGTACCCACGTGGGGGTGTCTGGGTGTGTATTTGGAGCGTTTTAAAGAAGCTGAGAAGCGGGAAAATCGACCCTTATCAAATACTAGGTGTCGACAGGTAAGAAGCGACGTAACACGTTTAGACTGTAGATTATAGGGCATGGGAGGCAGGTATTAAGCCCAAGAAGACCAAAATTCTGCATGATTCTCCAGGTTCTCTGGAACTTCACGTAACTGTCGAGACCTGGGCGATAGGAGAGGTGGATTTTCGAGTAGGGGCTTTTCTTTATCGTGTAGTTTCGATACCCAATTCAAGCAAGAGGTCGATTTTACACTTACTAATCCCTTTAAAGGGGTAGTGACAGGAGGAATTTAGAATTTTCGTATTTTCGTTCGAGATAAAGTTATGTAATTTTATTTCTATTCTTCAAGCTTTCACAAAATTTATCTCGACCCCTCAATCGCTCTCGGCACTGCCACAGGTATCCCCCCAAAAATTCCCCGGCTATTTTTATCAGGAGCCGGGGCTCTGGGCGGCGGATCTTTTCCGAGTTGCCCACAGGGTGGAATGGGAAATGGAACTGAGTAGTTGTTTTGCCATCATCATCATCCCATCACATGGTCGCGCCCGCCGGTCTACCAAAGTCGCCAATCGCCCCCGCGCACTGGCCCGGGGAATGATCATCGATCCGGGAATCAATCCGAAAAAGGCAACTGGGATAAAAATGGTGATCTAGCTTTGCTATACATTTAAAGGAAATGCCAAGGCAAAAGATTCGAGCAACTATTGAAAAAGGACCGCAGAAGGGCGGAAAACATATCTTTTTTGGGCTTAATTTCCGGGATTCTGCAATTTCGCGTCGTTAGGCGTGGAAGGTTCGATTCATAGTATTCTTTGAACCTTTACTTCTACCAATTTAAAGAAAAATCGCTTCAAAACTAAATTTTAAACATTCGTTGTTAGCACTTTTGTGCATGTCGTAACGAGCTATCGTAATTCTAGCTATATGAACGATATTCTCGTTATTTTCCTAAATAGCCACATTCACACTACCTTTTTCTGATTCCAATTTTTTGAAGTTTTCAGGAGAATGCCAGACCATACACATTATTTTTGAAAGCTTCGATTTTATAAATTTCAACTGTCTTCTTCTCACAATTTTCAAGAATCCCGAAAATATTTCAATTTCTTCCAATCCCTCCCCCTCTCGCCCCTGGCCAAAATCGTCCGGCCCGGCTGCCCGGCTGGCAATACTTTGACGACCATCGATCCGAACTCTACGCGATTTTCCTCTCCCATCCCCCACAGGCCTTCTCCTCCCCTGCCAGGGGGGCCATCCTGAAAACAGGGGGGACGCGCGCACAAAAACGAAATGGAACATAGAGAGAGGCGAGAGAGTGAGAAAGAGAGAGAGTGAGAGAGAGAGAGAGGAAATTTCGCGTCGCTCTTTCCCAAATTCTCGGCCCGCTGCCTGTGGGCTCGATGGCTGAGTAAGTGGCCCCCCTCGGGTGCGCGCATGTTTGCCGCGCGCCCCACGGCCCGGCCAGCAGCCCTCCAGCCAACACACAGCACACGCATTTTTGGTGGCGAGCAATGGAGGCGAAGTTTTTCGAAATTGGCACGGGGCATGGTTTGGGTTGGAGAGGGAGCTGGATGCTTTGAATGGGCCTGAACGGCTTGAAAATGTTGTCTGGAGCGACACAGAACGCCGAGCACTAGAAAGGACAGCTAGCAAAGAAACTTTGCGGAAGCGCGCGCACATAGTATTCCACGTGTTCAAGGAACAAAAATGAGGCCTAACTTCGAAGTGAAAACGGAAATCGAAGAGGCGGATCAGTAACTGCCGCTAACTCATTAATGCGTCCGGAGTTGAACCCAAGTTTTGGCGTCGATTTTAGGCTTTTACATTCTTTGCACTTTTTTTTCTGCACCCCTAGCACTTCGCAACCCTTGAGCAACATTCCCAATGGACCATCGACCACGCCAAGCAAAGTCTCGGATTGCCCGCGGCGAAGCGTCTGCCTCGCCCCGCTGGCAGAGTTCTTCAGTTCTTCAGGAGACGTGCAAACACCCCATCTCTCTAGCCCCTCCATTCTCTTCGGCTTCTCTAGCGCAGGCTGGCCGACGCGCTTCCGCCTTCCGCACGCGCGGCCGATGCCACGCGGGAGCGCGCCGTGCCCGCAGGCGCTTTGCAAACATCGGCCCCAAAAAACGGGATGCAAAATGGCGACGTCAGAGTTGCAAAAAACGGCTAGAGGTATCGATTTTTAAGGTGAACCTAGGAAGCGTAAAGGAGCTAGCAAGGGAGAATCGACACACGTAACCAGCTAGATCTCGGCGACTACGTTCCATGCTAAATAACGCTGATACGACGGTAGGTTGTATGTGTACTATCGGTACTATTTTACGGGCGCGAAAAATGAGTGATTGTCGACACCTAGTCGGTAGAAGGGTCTGGTTCTGATGGTTTAAAGGAATTGACCAAGCTCGACTACAGATTTTATAGACCCGATTAATAAAAATAGAATATTTAATACAATTCAAGAGGATAAGACGACTCCCAGTGATTTTTCTCAAATTTTCAACTGCTCCCGATTATTTCCCGGTCCCCCTAGCCATCGGGCCTATTTTTCTATCTGTATGTGTGCGTTGGATATCGAACAGACCCCCCCCAAATTGCATAGCTACACAGCCCCGGCTCAAAAAACGGGGTTGCGCCAAATCCGGCGCCATCGGCACCGAGAGGGATAGGGGGATCAGTCCGGTCCCCGTTAGGCAGTCAGTCAGCCCTCTACTCCCTGTCTATCTATTGGCATGTGCCATCGTGAAAATTGGCATTTTTTTGCGGCGGCGGGTGAAAACAGGCTCGGGGATGCACTCCCGATCGGCTCGGGGTCTGTGCCTACCCGCAATTCGGATTATCGGGTAATCGCCCGCGGGCCCCGAATTTTTCGGTTAGAGTCGAGAGCGATTACTGTGCAGGGCTGATACATGCTATTTTCGAGGGGTTTGAGGGTTATCATTCCATAGGACAACTCGTGGTTTATAGGAGTGTAACGGAATTTTGGAAGCGAGGATCATCTAAGCAAATTTTTTTTACTTTTCCCGGTAGCAACGGCTACGGTATGTCTTGGATTACGGTATCTCATGGAATAAAATTACCCACTAAGAAAGAAGCACGAGGATATAGAAACTTTAATAAACTATATAAAATATGTGTTTTAAACAAACTTTAAAAAAGACTCATGGGCGTGTTGTGGAAAGATAAAAAT